GATATTGCGGGCTTTAAAGGAGTTCGGGTCCAGCCAGTCCTTCTGATTGGGGCTGTCTGTGAGCATTTGTGGGTTATGGAAATCATAACTCATCAAGACGCTTTGGTGTTCGGGCTTAAGGGGCTGAGTGATCAGTGTGCTCGCTTATCATCCAATTCTCACATGACTTATGCTCGCTTAATGAGTTTGTTAAGCTCAGAACTGCTGAAAATATGCCGCATCTGAGTTTTGCTTACCGGCACGGCTTGAACCAGGTCGCGCCGAATTTGATAGCAATGCCCGTCTCGTGAATTTCTATCATCAAGCCTCTGGATAGTAATTTGCAGGCTGGGGCTAATTAGATCCCAATCTAATTAGAGTTTGTCCCACGAGACGTGGCCGATGATATTGACTGTTCTCCTCTGATCGTCTGTAATATCACGGCGGGCTCGCTGATATCTGCAAAGTGTATTGCACGTGCTGACCATTCCACATCGCATGATTAACGTTCATTGTGAACTGTTTTTGGTCTCTGCCGATTAAAGGGAATGTTTCACTTTTTTAGATAATGAAGTAGACAACGTTTACTGGAAACTGTTTTGTCTCTGCCGATTAAAGGGAATGTTTCACTTTTTTAGATAATGAAGTAAGCATCATATATGGTGAAACAAGCTCATTTATTGCTGTTGGTATGCTAGTAGAAAAGACTTCTCGAGACACCACCGTTTCTCCGCCGAGTAAATATACTCCTCGATACGTCGTTGTTTGATTACGTCATCGTACATTGCACAACATTGATTGAGAGCCCATCGACCGCCGTTATATCTGGAAATCGTGCCCATAAATGCCAGACATGAATGACTCGACCATTTTATTTTACCCGCTATTGATCGCCGCATGGCTTATGTAATCGCAGGATTTGAATGACATTATTATGTCGTCATGATAACCAAGGTGACTTTGAAATACTCTGTCTAAAATATTCCCCCCATTTATGTGGGCGTGTAACTCAGAAACCAGAGGGGCTCAGCCTTTCAAAAGAGCAGGGCCGTGAACTTCACCGAAAGGTCTTCAAGACGGTCATTCAGTTCAAAACCCCATACAAATGTGGAACACTCCCATTAAGCATTGCTTTTGAAACACTAAAACGTGAATACAAAACTCGTGGAGATATCTTACTTTAAGTTAGCGTGGTACTGTGTGCAACGGTGGAGAAAGTTAAGATATTTTGCTTGAGCAAAGCGATTTACTATTGTAATTGGTTCGCCCCGAGGGCATGAATACTGTCACTTGCAAGGCGATCAGACCTCATTTGACGTAAGCCAGTCCAGCCAACTGCGGTCCGCCGTCTTATTTTTCGCGACGTTCAGAGCGCTTGGTGGGCGGCGGGGCCGACCGGCCTGGCCCATTTGGGCCGGTTCCACTCATCCGGTGCCCCCGGGGAAGACGGGAGGTCAGGTTTAACGGCCATCCTTCGCCGACGTGGCCGTCGTCGCGCACTCAGTCGGCCGACAAGTGTGGAGCATTAGCGGCGCGGCGCAGGTGTCTGCCCCGGTCTGCTTCACCTCCTCCCCCCCCCCCCTGCTTCAGGTCCAACACGTGGGTCGGCCGACAGGGACGGGCTCGAGCTTTAAAGGCTTCCGACCGAAATGCCGAGTCGCCTGCGCACGAGTTTTATGGTCGAGCACTTCCGGGATCTGCGCGATCTGGCACGTGCCGCTTGGAAGACGGCGCCTCCTCAGAAAGTCTGGCCAGATCGAGTAGACTGTTGCTTTTCAGCTGTCTCCATCGAAGATGTGCGACTGAAACTAAAAGTGAAGTGTCGTATCACACGGCGCTTAGTCGCATTCTCCGAGTCACAAGCTTAACGTGTGCGGACGGCCCACCAGTCCGGGGCAAAATTGGCAGTAAATTACGCTACGGAACTCACTTCAAAAAAATTGGAACAAGTGACATCAGTTTCCAGGCAGAAAACCATGATCACCACACGCCAATCTCTTCGGATGCTTGAAAATCACACAACTCTTTTCATAGCTTAGAGGACACCAGTAGGCAGAGGAGCAGTACTGACGATCAAAAATGCACACGAAGCATTTCAATTTTGAGTCAGGTCTTAAGCGTGTAGAACCTTTGTGGTGGTTTGCTTTCAATGTGCGACAAATGAAGAGTTGCTCTTTCAATGAATACGCCTTCATGGTATCATAGTATATCATGGTATCATGGTATGGTACCATATTGGTCCCTGTACAATTTTCCTTGAACTATACAACGCGTCTAAGTTCGCAAACATCATCCCACGCTCCTCCGCGCCAGCACACTTCTAAAGCCCAAATGCCTCGTCATAAGTTACGAAACAATAATCTTGTGACGTCATCCGGACGTCAGTTTGGTGAATTCTGCTCCCTTCAGCCAGCAGATGACAACAGTTTGAGGTCCGGCAGCGTGTTAAAGTGGCCATTAGCCAACTTCATTTTTCCTATCGAGGTCACATGGCAGTCGGCTGGCCGCAGTTCGAAACCGCGGCAGAGGGCGCTGGGGAAGGGCGAGTGTGCTGCTTTGGGGGGGGGGGGGGAAGGGGGAGGGGTGTGCCAGAGAGCGCTGATAAGGGAGCGAGTTTGCGTGATTGGCGAAGGAGCGTTTGCAGGTGTGTGGGTGGGCGTAGATGCGTGGGCGGGTAGGTGGTGTCCACGTGGGCATTCGGGCATGTGTTCATGCATGCTTGTTACAGAACTCACACGTACACACACACACACACACACACACACACACACACACACACACACACACACACACAACACACACACACACACACACACACACACACACACACCACACACACACACACACACACACACACACACACACACACACACACCACACACACACACACACGCCTCCAAATTATACAGCATTATTGAATAAACGCATTGCAAAGCAGCACAGCAATAAGCGTCAATGCGGTTAATGGTGGATGTTTCTGCGCACGTGGGAGATAGTCGTGACTCAATATCGGAACTCTTGAAACAAAGATTCATCGTTCTGCGCTTGGCATGGAAAAACTGAGTGAGCCTAAATACTTTCAAAAATGTACTGACGTGCGAAAAGCACTTATGGATCGAAGTAGGCGAAATTGACTTAATGTACTAACTAAAGCGATCTCTTTTTTGTCTATTGACTCATGGCATATAAGACAAATTTTCTTATGAAGTATGTTACAATGGCGCATGTCTAAAACTAGAAGTAGCCTTAGAATGGTTTGGCAAGGCTAACAACACAGCGACGCGAAATCACAAAGTTGTTATTAACTTTCGTGTCGACTTTCGACAGCTGTTTCAAGACACCCGTGTATGCGGGGCGTGCGGGCACGGCCCTGCTTATTAGTGTGCCAGGGTGTGACACAAATACGTCTTGTTTGTGTAGGCTCTATCATAATGGGCATGACCTTTAGTTGGGCTCATGCGTGCTTTCCTGCGCTTATGAACATCACGGACCAATGCACCAATAGGGATGCGTTATATTAGATCGGCGTGATGTGAATGGATGCCTTCAGCTTCCAGATCTGGACTGACAGAATGATGTGGCTCTTTCGTAATATGTGGTCTATAGAGAAATGTAAGCATCTTGGCTGAGGTTGTGATTTTTTTTTAGGTATCATAGCAGTAATGCTCACGATATTATGCTCATCGTGGTAAGTGGTTATTACGGTGTTGTGGCTCGTGATTAGAGTGTGATTAATGATGATTGGAGAGTCATGATGGGAATAGGGTCTGTGTTGGATTAATTAAGCAAAATTGTGTTATCGGACATCACTCAAGACGTTTCAAAGCCCGACGTTCAGCTGCTATTAAGGGGCCGTTACATTCCGGCACGCAAACTGATTGATCAGGTTTTCGGACACTTTCTCCGTCACCGACATCCAGGGGGCGCGTGAGCTGCACCGTGACATGGGATCGCCGTAAGCGCCGGGCCCGGTCGTCGCTCGCGATGCCGTGGATGGCACGTTCATGGTGCTGTCGCTGCCCGCCCGCCGGGTCGATGCAGGCAGCGTGAGCTGACGGGTGACACGCGACGCGCTCCGGCCTGACGACCGGCTCCGGTCCGGCGACGCGCTCCGGCCTGGCGACCGGTTCCGGTCCGGCGGGCGGCGACCGGCGACCGGCTCCGGTCCGGCAGGCGGCGGCCCGCTTCGTTCCGGTGGGCGGCGACCGGTTCCGGTCCGGCAGGCGGCGGCCCGCTCCGTTCCGGCGGGCGGCGACCGGCTGCGGTCCGGTGGGCGGCGACCGGCTCCGGTCCGGTGGGCGGCGACCGGCTCCGGTCCGGCGGGCGGCGGCCCGCTCCGTTCCGGCGGGCGGCGGCCCGCTCCGGTCCGGCCGCCGCTGCCGAGGAAGTCGGCGGCGGCGGCGCCACGACCGAGACAGCGCTCAATATGTGCCGGCGCCGGATAACCGGACAGATTGCGACTCTGTCGTTCGTCTCTTGCGCGGCGCAATAACGCGTAAACATGTTGTACGACGGCAGATATTGGGTAACGGCACGAGCCTAATGAGTTGTTCCAGCTGATGACTTCTCCTTGTTTTGCAGCACACTGCACTCTGAAAGTACTATAAGTTAATCACAGCTCAAATATCATGTTTGTCCGAGAGCTCATGGCCTAAAATGCTCTAAAAAACTTGGAAATGTTTTGGGCGCGCCAGAATTGACGTTGAATTGTTTATCTGGGCCAAGGTGGTTATTACTATTGAAAACAGGCTGCCAAAACGAGATGCGCGTATACTTAACTACAACTGTTGGCTTAAGACTTCTTACGTATTACATATGTTTTTGCATATATTTAAGTGTTTGCGATAATTGAAACTGTTTCACTAACCTTAAATATCACAAAAGAGCAGCGCGGCATCTCTCTTGGAATGACCCTGACTTCGACCGCGTGATGTGGCCGTCACGGTGACGAATCGAGCTGTAACGTCACGTGTCTCCGCTGACCCGGCCACTGTGACAGCGCGTGGGTTGCCGGTCCACAGAGACCTGCCGTCCGGATGGACCCGCCGGGCGAGGAGGGCGGCGCGCCTGCCGTCAGCCGGCAGAGCAGCGCTGGCGGCGAGCAGCGCAGCGCGGCCGCCACAATCGCCGCCCTGCGCCGCGAGCTGGCGCAGCCGCCGCCAGAGCCGGCCACCATCATCCGGCTCAAGGCCATGAACAAGCGCGTCGTCATCAACGTGGGCGGCGTGCGCAATGAGGTGCTCTGGTCTACGCTGGAGCGGCTGCCGCGTACCCGGCTCGGTAAGCTGAAGGCGTGCAACACGCACGAGGACATTCTGGGCATCTGCGACGAGTACTCACTGATGGAGAATGAGTTCTTCTTCGACCGGCACCCGCGCTCGTTCTGCAGCATCCTCAACTTCTACCGGACGGGCAAGCTGCACCTGGTGGAGGAGATGTGCGTGATTGCCTTCAGCGAGGACCTCGAGTACTGGGGCATCGACGAACTGTACCTCGAGTCGTGCTGCCAGCACAAGTACCACACCCGGCGCGAGTACGTCAACGAGGAGATGAAAAAGGAGGCTGATTCGCTCAAGACGGGGGAAACGGAGCAGTTCGGCTCCGGCAAATGGGCCCAGTACCAGAAGTTCCTTTGGGACCTCATGGAGAAGCCGACCACGTCGCTGGGCGCTCGGGTAAGTGGGCCCGCAGCCAGGCGCCGCTCATGTTGCGCCAGGGCCTGCGGCCAGCCTCCGTGCTCGCTTGGGTGAGTGGGCGCACGTGGAAAGGTTGCACCGGTGATGTATTTCTGGAATTTGGTGCTACGTGAAGCTTTAATCGTGATGGAAGCTTTTGGTGTCGGCTGCGTGCTATCGTGCGGAAAACCAAACATTTGTTTTAACTGTTTCACTACCGCTTAAAGCCTCTCGCTTGCTTAAGTCGTCAGGGTGCTGGTATGTCGGGCATTTATTGATGCAAAAATGCACATCACGGATTCTTTATTTGCCTTGCATAAACCTCATGTCTATCAACACTAATCAACACATTGCATTTCTCTTTACTTCAAGCACTGGAAACTCAGTTACAACTAGCACAAATCACTATTTCCACATCTCTCGAAGCGGAGACGCGTCCGGTCTGTGGCTCTCCTTCGGTGTCGCAGTGGCCGCTGGCAGCGACGTCGCCTGCCTAACACGAGCCGCGCGACTCTCCCTCGGTGTCGTGGCGGCCGCCGGCAGCGACGTCGCCTGCCTAACACGGGCCGCGCAGTGTGCTCTGCCCTAGCTTTCGCAGGTGGCCGCCTTGAGAGCTGGCTATGCTCCCTCCCGCACGCGCAGCCGGGCTGTTGTGTGGCTGGCCGGGGATGGGCTGAGGCAATGCACCAGTGCTCTGCGGCTTGTCTGTGGGACGTCCGCACCGCGCGCCGCCGTGGTGAAGGCGCCCAACCGATGCACGTCACCGGCCCGCTCCGCCAGGGGGGGGGGGGCTGACCCTCTCCAGGTCACCGGCCCCTAGGGTGGCTGTTGACTCGGAGTCCAGGACCACTCCGCCAGGGCGGGGGGGGGGACAGACCAGCTCCAGATCACCAGCCCCTGAGGCGGCTGTTGACTCCAAGTCCAAGACCACTCCGCCAGGGCGGGGGGGCAGACTA